GAGAAAATCCGTGAACAATGTTTTCATGCGTACAATAGCAATATGTCCCCGACTTCGTTCGGGGTGACATAATTACCATATCTATATTGGATTCCGAAACTTCATAAAAATCTTTACAAACAAAGATACATAGCGGGTTCCAGTAAATGTTCCAACAAGCCTCTTTCTCTACTCCTCACTAAGATATTAACAGTAGTGAAGGAGAAACTTCAAAAGTACTGTGCAACAATATATTCGAGATGTGGTGTAAATCAGGTGTGGATACTAAAAAATTCCAAGGAACATTTGGAACATTTGAAATCTCAAAATTTAACCAAAATCACAACATAAAAACTTACGACTTTTCAACTTTATATACTACCACTCCCCACGATAAATTAAAGTCCAGGCTTTTTGATATCATTGACAGCTGCTTTTTCAATAAAAATGGAACTCGTAAATTTACTTACCTTGTTATAGGTCATTTGCAAAATTACTTTGTTAAAAACAATCTGATTGTACACACAAGTACTCCGAAGTTGACATTAAATAGATGCTCGAGTTTCTGATTGACAATATATATATGGATTTTGGAGACCAGCCCTTCAACAATCTATTGGAATTTCCATGGGTACCAATTGCGCCCCGTTATTAGCAGACCTATTTTTGTATTCATATGAAAACACTTGCTGTGGCCTTCAACTCGACATTTAGATATATCGACGACGTATTGTCAATAGAATTAACAATGGTTATTTCCATTCTTATGTCGACAAGATATATCCTGGTGAGCTTGAGAAAAAAAAATATCACAGAGTCTGACACATCTGTTTCATATTTGGATATTTTATTAGAAAAAGACGTTAATGGTAATTTAACAACAAAGCTTTATGATAAACGTGATGACTAATTTTTCAATCGTCAAATTCCCTTACTTTCGCAGCAATATACCCTTATCACCTGCATACGGAGTTTATTTTTCTCATTTGATTCGATACGCCAGAGCATGCTCTACTTATGAACAATTTCTAAAACGAGGTAAGTTATTGACAAACAAGTTGATGAAACAAGAGTATCAACAGTCTCGTTTATCATTTCGTAAGTTCTATGGTCGATACACTGACCCTGTCAGCAAATACAATCTTTCATTAAGTCAAATGCTGACTGACTTTTTTCATACTAATTGTTAGGCCATTATTTACACACTGAGTTGTTAACGGATTTTTCCGTTATTTCCCGATCATGATAAGGAGCACACGGCGGGTGTGACCGGTCGGCAGGGGATGCTCACTCCTCCATGGCACCTGATCCCACCTCTGATGTTTTGGAGGTTTGTGTTTGCTCTGCTCCTATTTTGTAATGTTTAATGGACTTTAGAGTTCGAGTACTGTTCGTTATCTCCACATATTTCATTATATGCTACAACGGTACTACCCTCACTGGAAGACGGAAAATTAAACTAGATAATCAAGTTTAAGAAATGTACATTATTGACCATGCAAACAATATAAAAGTTCAAATGAGTAAATGGTATATATGACAATCATTTAAAATAAAACAAGGATCTTGCACAATATATGTGTAGGGACAGATTCTGAGTATTTGGCACATACTTTTCATGCAATACTCTTGATATGAAAGAAAACGTGTGAAAAGTAAAGTTGTCTAATCCAACTATACTAGTATCTATTATTTCACATGTACACTTAAAGTCATTGTTTGATAAAGAGTTTTATATTTGTCCTTCGCAAGAATTATCCAGTTAACAATGTCACTCACTTCAATATTCAAATTATGCCAAATTATGTCAGCAAAGCAATTTACATTTGTATTTTTTATTAATAACAAGTATGTTAATTTTTATCAATATGCCTACACCTGTATTTTCATTTTTATTCTCAAAAATGCAAAAGGAAAATCATAATTAACAGTTTAATCAAATTTAAATATATATGTATATAACTTACATATTTTTCAAAAGACATTTAACAAGTTTTCAAACAATAATTAATTATTATTTAAAATCTTTGTTAATTGTCCAGATTTTTATGACTCTTTCATTATCTTTTTAAAACTTTCTCAGAAAAATCTTTGCATACTAGTATTTTATAAAGGTTGATGAATTTTGGAAGAGAATCACGATGCCAATTAAAGTTTTTATATGTTTTCTATTTTTTTTAGATTAATTTTACTATTTTTAGTTTCCCATAAGATATTTTTTTTCCAAAAATAAAAGTATGTGATCGTTTATGATTGTTTGTAATAAAAAGAGTACAGAATGTACCCCTGTTAGCTAAACTTTTTTAATCTTTTAATTGGAGAAAAAATAACTTTTCATTATGAAAGTAATCCCATTGTTTCCTTTAAAACAGTTGTACAATTTACAAAAACTTAAAGTGTATTAAATGCTTTTGATAAAAGCTTTTTTCATATATTCACTTAATAAAAGGTATGTCTAAATACTTTGGGGTAAACTCTTAAGAGAAAATCAAACTCGAGAGTCTCGCCGATGTTTTCCAGTCGGTAATACCTTTCATCCCCTTTAGTCAGCAATAAACCCGTCCATCCAGTGCCTATCGTGGCATAATAAGGTCAAATAATTATGGAGGTCTAAAAATTGTTCAAGAATTTTTAATTTTTAATTTCAATTTTTAATTGTTTAAATTGTTCAAGGGGTGCTATATAATTTATACAAAATCGTCCAACTCCCAGAAATAACATTAACTATAAATCACGATTTCAGGGTTTTCCGACTAGTTTATTCTCCGCAAATAACCCCTAAATTAAAGCCAAGCAATTATCTCGGGTATTAGCCTGTCAGAGTCAGAAAGGCAGTAGAGGCAGCGATGGTAAACTGATCATAGGCAGCGCTTTAACGAAGCTTCCGGTGCCGCATAGGTAGCGCTTTGACGAAGCTTCCAGTGTCGACAAAAATTGCGTAAGACCTTTGGTTAGATGACATAAAGCGATTAGCGTATACATTAACCGCTTAAAAAGTTACAAAGACCATAATTGCTTTTTACGAGTCCGGCAAAAATGGTCTAATTCACAGGATTTGTATATGTGTATGAAAGAGGGTAATATGTTTGCGAAAGGCTTAAAAAATGTCTTCCGATAACATATAAACCCCCTATTATTTGCTTGGTTTTTAAGGATGACTTTCAAAAATTATAATACAACTGTATATATATATATATATTGGCGTTAAAAAAAAAGTTATGAAATTATGAAACAAATTATTTTCAGTGACTTTGGTCACAAGTAAAGGTATAATTTTATGTTATTTATTGAAGTTTCATCCGTGTGAAATCAAGTTTTATGCCTTTCCTGCAGATACTTAAAGAAAAGATTAAAGAAACCATATGGTATTTCAAATGATATAGTATTGAGGTTAATGAAGAATATCGTAGACATGGTTAATATTGACATGGTAAATATTGATTTACATGTAAATAATGACGTTTTTTGAAAACTTTATGAAAATTAAACATTGCTTTAATCTAAAACTATTACATACCTTAATGAATTTTCAGTGACTTTGGTCACAAGTAAAGGTATAATTTTATGTTATTTATTGAAGTTTCATCCGTGTGAAATCAAGTTTTATGCCTTTCCTGCAGATACTTAAAGAAAAGATTAAAGAAACCATATGGTATTTCAAATGATATAGTATTGAGGTTAATGAAGAATATCGTAGACATGGTTAATATTGACATGGTAAATATTGATTTACATGTAAATAATGACGTTTTTTGAAAACTTTATGAAAATTAAACATTGCTTTAATCTAAAACTATTACCACTTAGTGCATGAAAACTCTGAATTCAATCATTGAACTGTTTTATTTTAGGAAAAGTCTGACACTGTTTTTTAAAGTTTCTCAAAATAACAGATATATAAACCCTTAATTGATGATTTTATGAAAGTGCAGGGAGGCACCGCAGTTGAAACCTGGTGACAGATTAAATGGAAAACGTGCAGACTTGGGAACAAAAAATCGAAACATAAGCAGTAGTGTGACTTTTGTTTAAGTCGATTAAAGAAAACTATGCATGGGATAACCATGGTGACCCCAGTCATCAGAAAAACGTGTTCTTATTATCAAAGTCATTATTTTAACAGATGGAAAGTCACAGCAATTTAAGCATGTACACTGAAAGGCAATTCTTAACAGATAAAGTTAAAAAATAATTATTCATTGTGGCCCATTTTGCATTTGAAGCTGAATTTTCATTTCATTTCATTTATTGACAACACCATCATACATTGGCATATAGTGATGAATACAACAAACAATAAACATACATTTAAAAATGATTTTGACAATTGACATATAGCTCGAACATGTTAAAAAATAAAAAAGAATTATAAAAAGAAAATATAGCTCTGTGGCATTCAACAGGTTTCTCTCTGCAGATGAATATGTTGTAATTATTCTGTCATTCCCATATCAATCAACATTATACTTCAGATCTTCGGCCACTGGCTGTTTAGCGTAACATGCACGTGTACACATGTGTAATCCAGTGGGCGTGCTGGCTAGTGGATGTAGATCTATCATACAGTCTTCTGCTACATAAAACTAATTGTTAACTGTGATTTCAACTTTGAGAATATCGAATATTTTGCTAAAAAAGTACAAAATAGCTTTATACATTTTCTTATGAATCATGCGTTAATTAGATCTTAACAGCCAAATTAATTTTGATAGATCGCATTGCCTCAGGCAGTCGGTATACATCAACAAAGCGTATCGGAAAACATAACGTGATGCCCGCCTATCGTGTGTTTCGTGACATTATGAAGAGCCACGCACTTTGTGTATGAGGAACACACTATGGATTTTAAGAAATTTGTTATATTCGTTAAGGATTTCGTTTTTGGATTGAGACTTACAACAATATCATAGGTAATATATCTGATGTGTCACAGCTGTATTTATGTTTTCCCCCCTAACTGAGGGTACTGTGACCCTTTGGTCGACGTCAAAGTGGCAGGCGTAAACACAATAGAAAAAAACATGGCGCACTCCTGGAGGCTGATGTTTCATTTTATTGTTTTGGCAGTTTATTCGTCAACAAATGTGAAATCTACACCTTTACCGACAGATACTGAATATATATTGTCGAACAGAACAGAGAAAAATGGCGGATATTTACCATATGGATGGGATAAATTTTGTACTCTGAAGGAAGACAGTAATGAGAAAATTAAAGATTTCTTTTGTCATGTTAAAAAACAGTTTTCTGGAAAATGGAGCTTTACGGAATTAAGAGAACACATTGTCAACAAAACAGTGAAATACAAATTTGAAATAAAATGTGAAGCTGGGTCAAACATTTCTGTACCGTGGCCATTAAAAGCAAGGAATGTTTTACAACTTAAGATAGAAAATTGCGACCTGGACCACTATCTACGGGAATATACCCAGAAGTTTATTTCAAATATTCCGGATGAACTTGAGCAGTTGGTAATCATCGATAGTGTTATAATCATTGATATAATGGACATGTTAAATATCGCTATTAACATTTCAGAAATTGATAAAGACTACGACTGTGGGCATGAAGAAACATTACAACGATATGTGTTTAGAAACATCAGTTATGCGTTTGATAAGTCTATGGAGCTTTATTTGGCTAGTATGTTTAACAATGACTCAGATTTCATGTCCTCAGAAGTTATAAGCACAGGATCAGAAATGTTACCACAATCTCGTCATATCAAACACAAATGCATATACAACAAACTCGAATATGCGGATCTCAGTATCAATTCTCAAACATCGAAATTTCACACAGAATTATCCACAGAAAACGCAATGTTTCCTTCGCTCAGGTTCTTCAATTTATCAAACACTCAGCTTCCAAACCTGGCAGAGGCCCATAGAAAATGGTATCGTTATTATCAAAAACTAGAGGTGATGGACCTATCGCACAATCGCTTCACAGAGCTAGAATTTGATCCAACGGCAGATGTCTGGGACATTCCCATGTTGACAATGAACGTTTCCTATAATAACATTTCTGAATTTAAGGTCGACAAACTAGAAGAGCTTGTGGACATGAAAAAATTGTTCATTGATTTCAGTCACAATCCATTAAATTGTTCTTGTACAGAAGAAACAAGACAACTTATTACTTACGTAAACGATCAATCAAAATGGATTCTACCGAAATATCAGAGATACAGATTCATGATGGATTTAGAATGCATGTATCCCGACGACATTTATGGAAAACGTCTCTCTGATCTTAAAATAGAGGATTTAAACTGCAAGCATGAGCTTGTAGAAAGGATAGCGGTAGAAGCTGTTGTATTCTTAAGTCTATTGTCAGTTGCACTCATCATTGTTATCATAATTCTACTTAAATTCAGAAGGGAGATCAGAATATTAACCTACACAAGATTTAACATCATTTTACCGTGTCAACCTATCGAAACATTCGAAAATAAGAAATTTGACGCTTTTGTCTCCTACAGTAACCACGACCAGGAGTGGGTCACCAGTGTGTTTGAAAATACTGCTTCTAACAACCCTTTGAAAAACTTTAAGTTCTGTTTACATCACAAAGATTTCATGCCAGGAAAAACGATTTTTGACAATGTCATAGACTGTGTAGAGGCCAGTCGCCACACAGTTATCGTTCTTTCTAAACATTTTCTCAACAGCCATTATTGTATGTACGAATTTCATGAGGCATTTCAGCAAAGTATTTATGAGAGAAAACGGCATTTGTTGGTTATCATGATGGAAGATATCCCCACCAATGATCTTCCGAATGATTTAAAACGATGTCTAAAGACATTTACATACATTCGAAAGGACGATAAAATATTTGTCGATAGATTGGTGTACGCCTTGTCCTACAAAGGCCAAAAAGCCATGCTTGTTGACAGTCGGTGTCGAAGTGCAGCTTATTCCAATCAAACTTCCTGTGAGACGGACATTACGGAAGCAGGTAGTGATGGAAACTCGAGCCCGATATCTATTATTGATCGAGATAATATTTTTCCAGATTTAATCAATGAAAAAGACATTGTTAGTGTCAAAAATGAGAAAAACAACATTCTGTAATCACTTGTCATTGAATTGTATCAACATGCATTATTCACTTTGATATCATGCGTTATATCGAGAAAAAAAATAGAGTATTACTTTTAAACTTGAAAAGGTATTTTATTTCAAGTTTATAAAATAAATGGCATATAATCATAATTACACATAAATCACATGTTTGTACACTAGAATTTGAATGTGTATTGATAGATGATTTTGTTTTATGTAGTGGACCACTGATTTATTTTTATTTAATTTTTTATTTTAGTGCTGTAAAATTGATCCTTTGTTTTCTATGGGTAATATTTTTACAGAATATTTATCTTGTATAATTAGAATTCTTTTGACCATAACAGTATAATGCAGAACATACAGATTTGTAGGAGGGCACATGGATTTGGTTAGTTCACAAGTTACCTCAGTTTAAGTCAGTAGTTTAGTGGATTAAAAAATTGCATCTGTTTAATTAGGATATTGCACTTTCGTTATACCAGGATATTCATGATTTAAGAAAGGCAAAATTATTTTATTACACCACAAGAAAGTCTCTTAATTTTATCGTGTATCCAGTACACACTCTTTGTAAACAATCTATATTCCTTGTAAATAATCTACATTTGTTCTGGAAAAAAAATGTTTAGCAAGTTTACAATGTTAAAAGATAATTCAGTTATTTGTTAAGAGTACAAGGCTTTATCACTGCAGATATTAATATTGTCTCGAAACATTTGCATAATAATCAGGCATTTGTGACACAATTCTGCATAGTTTATAAATTTATATAAAATTTGCTCAGTTTGTTATAATGCACGTTTTGTAATAGTGTTGTATAAGTAACAACATCTGTAGAGGGATATCTGATAAAAACAAGAAAAGGAATTAAAAAAATTAATTTTGTTTTTCATCTTGTTCATGTTCATTCATTTCTAACAGGTTTTGTATTATCAAATAAACTTTTAAAGTAGTCACATTGCAAAATTTATCCCATATAATAAAATCCGTTGGAAAGGACACTTTGAATCCGCATTGTGGTGATAAAAAGACCTCGTCACTAAACGTTATATCTTTTTACAAATTAAAATTACTCAAACATGGCGCTTTTAGTTTTCACTTTAATGGATATATAAACTATATAATGAAGGAGACATGGCGGTCAGCGAAAAAAAGGGTTCAGTGCCCTCCGTGTATATTTTACTGAGTGGGCGTTTGCTTTTTTCCTTGTAAAATTTCAAGAGGGGATTTGTGAGAAAGTTATTAATATTGAGTTTAAGCATTTTTTACTGAGATTTTATAGAATTTGATAACATCAGCATGTGGAAGTAGTTGTATAGGCACAGTATGATCACTGTACGATTACGTCAGGCTTGTTTCTCCTAGATGTTTTAAGAATTTAATTTTCAATGTCAGGATCAGACATCATTTATCTAAGAAAATTAACTTTTAAAATTGACAGTTGAACCTAGTCACAAAAATGTTTAATTACTGCATATATTTAGCTAAAATATTTTGATTCCTAACAGTGATTTAATTGTCTAATTTACAAGTAATTAATCAAAACTTTTTATTGGGTTGTGAAAATATACAATGACAAGTTTAAAGTTTAATTACTGACTTAGATGATCTCGATAAAAATTTACTTTTACAACATTCACATAATTTATAAAGAATTTTTTTTTTTTAATTTGTGAAATGTTTCTTATTTGCATTATAGCCAGAACCAGTATGTCTATATGTTCTGGTATGTTCTCTTTAAGTTATTCGTCCTTTTAAACACAATTGTTTTAAAATCGACGTAATAAGCATATTGTGTCATAGTTTAGATTTTAGAAATGATCTTTCGATAGAATTTTTATCCAAATGAAAAATAAGTTTGTCTCTGTATTTTTTACGGTGTAAATACAAATGGGCAGCTTTTTATTTAATTCAGAGCTACTATTTTCTTTATCACACGTAGGACTTCGGTACAAACATAAGTCTTTCATTCTTCTTTTTTTTTTTTTTTTTTTTTTTTTTTTTTTTTTTTTTTGATTTCATATACAAAGAGCTCATTAGGGGATGCTTGCTCCTCCTCTTAGACAATAATTGAAGCATTTTGTGTATCCTAAAGTTTAGTTATTAGTTTGCCATTAATATATCTCTCGTTTAAAATCTAAACATAAGACGAATGTGTCAGACTTTGTGATGTCTTTTAATTAGAATTCAGCGAGTCCTCTCATCCGAAGGACCCACAACTTTACTTCAAAGTGCAGAGCACTTGGCGAAGGAAGCTACCTATTTTTTTATCGATTTAGGTCAGTTGCGGCCGAGATTCGAACTCACGACCTTCGATCACGGAGCGAGCGCTCTACCGACTAAGCTACCGTGACGGTCATATGAATGGAAGTAGCTATTGTTAATTGATAAAACGTCGTCGATATATCGAAATGTAGGGTTGAAGGCCACAGCGAATGTTTACTTCTCATGTAGAAGTTTTTTAATAAATTCTGCTTCATAGGAATATAGAACAGGTTGGCTAATAAAGGAGCACAACAAGTTGCTGTCCTTTAAAAAAGGACTGCAATACGTGGACCATATGCATGTGTTTCTACACGAAATTCAAAGAAAATTTCTAGATTTAGTGATTTTACAAAGGTGTAATTAATTATTTTTTTTTTACATGTATCTTGTAATTTTCATCCCATTTAAGTCTGCTTAATTAGGCTCTAATGATAAAAAACCATGATCTTGAAATTATGTGAATATGAAATATTCAATCTAATTAAAATTAGATGTTCCGAATCCGCTACCGCTTCTCAAAAGAAGCGGTAGCGGATTCGGAACATCTAATTTTAATTAGATTGTGAAATGTTGATCTAGGTGTCTATCACAATTGTAAACACTGGTAAAGTAGCCTTTAAAATCAATTATCAATAGAATTAAAAGATGCCTAAGCGTGCAGGTGTCGTAATGGTTGAATTGTAACTCCGTTGGCGGATCCAGGAAAGGAAGGGGGATTCGGATGTTGTAACCCCATTTATTTTTGCAGAAAGAGGAAGAGAGAGAGAGTGTGTGTTTTTTTTTCTGTAGTATAGATATTTTTACGTCTAGTATTTTCAATAAAATAAGTACTTCAATCTCTGCCCTTTCTGCTCTCTAGATAGAGTTTTGCTTATTGCTTTTCTCCTTGTACTTTCACAACCCCGACCCCGGGCCTCGACCACCCACACGTAACATGAAAGATTTCACTTCGATATCATAGGAAGATTCCGGCGAACGTACATAGCTATTTTTGGACCATCTTCTGAAGTAGCTACTTTAAGTATGCATAAAAGGTCATGAAAGGGAGTATGCATAAGAGAATATTTTTCTCCTTATATTATGGGGATATTTTAGTCAATAAAGAGAAAGGTTCAAAATGTCCCCGTAGTATGTTGGGGAGGGGGGCTCACTTTTTCTTAAAAAAATAATCTGTTGTTATAATTTGAATATATAAGCTTGATTTGTATAGGAAGCTCCCCCGCACTTTTTGTTGCGGGAAGGTTCAAAATACGGACAATCAAACATTTAAAAGAAATCAAAATGTACCGAAAAGTTTAGACGAAGCCCCCTCCCCCCGAAATAGGATTTTACAGTGTGGTGCACAGGTTGTTATTTTAATTTATTTATTAATTGTTGCTTGTCAACTCTTTTTGGAGGTTGCCCCCTTTGAAAACCGTTGCTACGGACTTGAATATAAGTGCCTGCAGTGTGACCTAGAAGCCCCCCCCCTTTTCAAAAACTGCTGAATTGGACCCTGTACTGGAGCACTAGAGGGTCTCGAGTTATCTAACACGATGCTAGGTTATCGATTAACTCGATCAATTTAAAAACACACACACACAAATAATTTTGTGTGTGTGTGTGTGTGTGTGTGTGTGTGTGTACATGTTTTCTCTCTGTCTCTTTTAAATAACGGAATGGTTAATATACAACACCTGCAATCGTGTTTATCCGAGCTCGCCAGAAGGCGGATCTGAGAAGATGCGTCGCACTGTGTAGACCTAGGCTATTTGGTCTTGCAAGCACAGGTGTGTGCACTGTTTGCTGATGACGGTATTTGCTACGGACATGAAGGACTATACACCAATTTCATAACGTGCAGTTTTTTACTAGTGAAAATTGGAGTAAATTAAAAGTCGAATGTCTTGGATATGGGGTAACCAATACCTGTTCTTGTTACAACGACCGTCAATGCATCCATGGACGAGTTCATTGGTTACTCTGAAAGGTGGCACAGGTCAACCTTTCGTTAACATTTTCTACAATGAACTGGCTACTTTGAGTGATTGTACTTTCATAGCAAAGTAGTGAAATTTTATTCCCGATTGGCCTATATTTTTGTCATTTAAAAAAATCGGGCTATTTCGATACATGTAAGGGACTTGACATCTGCACTAGATTTATTTATACGGAAGATATCCTATCATTGGAAAGATAGATGGTACACATGTAGCACAGATCTGTAGTACGCAGATTTTTTTTTTATGTTTCTCCCTCTCCCCCACATGGAAAAACGTTGCTACAGGCCTCTATCAAGCTATATTTGGATTGCTGTCAATCAAATTATTTAGCAAACCTTGATGCAAAAAACTAATGCCGGTAAATCTTTTAAAACCTAGTAGTTGAATTAAGTTTTTAATTCAACATGTTCAAGCTGTTAAGCTATCTATATAAGTTTTTCCTACTTATTTAAAATGCTTGTACCATAGAATTTACTTTGTATATAAGGATATATGTATTGAAGAGAAATTCAGATCTTGGTTACGCCAAAGAATAAATAAATACGATGTGCAGATTTTAGAGCGAGGTTTGCCAATGATTGGCATATTCTAATTCGAAAAGGGCGAATTGTTCTAAGGGCAAGCTAGCATTCTCGCGCATGCGTAGCCTGACGTAAGCCCATGACATCCGGTTTAACCCCACTTATATATTTTTTGCGTGGACCTCAGGGTCTACGCAATAAGTGCCAATCGAAATTCCAACAGTCTTTTGGAAAACAT